AAGTGATCCACCCACCTCAGCCTCCCAAATTGCTGGGATTATAGGTATGAGCCACTGTGTCTGTACCTATCTTTATCCGTTTATAGAAAGCATCCTATTGTGCTGAAATATTGATAGTTTTAGTAATTTTTTTCTTCTGGTGGTTTGCAACCCTAGGAAAAGATTTTCTTTCCTACCCACCCCCCTGCTTTTTTCCTACCGTAATTCAGCCTTTTCAGTTTCAATCTGAATGATGGCCAGCATTTTTTCATATTCCTTTTCAGGACAATCATAGAAAGTACGCATAATCCATCTTGATATGGGATGCTACAAGAGAAAATTCATTTAAAATTTGTCCATTTCTGAATAATACTTTGCTTTTCTAGTTGACTATTCTTTAAAATGACCACCTCAGTTAGATAAACGAGTAACATCTACTATGTAACAACTACTTTATATATATGAAAAACATAATTTTAATAGATTAGACGGATACTATTTTTGTCCGCATTTTAAAGATGGGTGAATTGCCCAAAGTTACACAGCTAGTACGTGGCAGCACCTGGACTAAGCCACGACTGCCTGGCTCCAGAACTGTGTGTGCGTTTCCATCACACTATGCTGAGTGTCTTCAGTGGCAGATTCAGGAGCCAAACCCAGGTTCTGCTGTTTCAAAAATGGAGCTCATTGCACCAGTTAGCATAAACAAACTAATTGTTAAGTTTTGCCTTAAGATTTAATGGTTTACCTTAAGATTTATATTTAAAATATAATTCATTCAGATAATAAAACATGATGGGACATGCTCTATTCAAAGCTATCTCACTATAAATTTGCAAAAACAAGTAACAAAATTAATTTTGGATTTTGGTAGCAGTAGGAGTATGGGGTAATGACAGACAGAGCAGGCTCTGGAGTCAAGGCTGCCTGGGCTGAAACAGTGACCCTCTCTAGACAGGTCACGTAACTCTTCTAGCCTCAGTTTCTTCATCTCCAAAGAGGGAATAAGAATAGTACTTTTTACATGGCATAAAATAATAAATATTTTTAAAATACTCAGCACAGTACCTGCTACGCAGTAGGTGCTCAATAAATGACAACTAGCATTCATAGTGGTGAAATCTTTCCTAAGGCATTGAACTTAGAATAAATCATGTTACTCTGTTAGGTTAAGAAAACACTGCAATCATTCTTTAAAAAAACGTAAAGCTTAAAATGATTTTTAAAAAATGAAGTACCAAAACATGTTGTTTATAAAAAGTATGCAAAAAATCTATCTACTTGATATAAAAAATAAAATATAAAACTATATCACCGCTGGGTACAGTGGCTCATGCCTGTAATCCTGAGGTGAGCAGATCACTTGAGGCCAGGAGTTTGAGACCATCCTGGCCAACATGGTGAAATCCTGTCTCTACTAAAAACACAAAAATTAGCCAGGGGTGGTAGCACACGCTTATGATCCCAGCTACGTGGGAGGCTGAGGCATGAGACTCGCTTGAATGCAGGAGGCGGAGGTTGCAGTGAGCCAAATTTTTGTATTTTTAGTAGAGACAGGATTTTACCACGTTGGCCAGGCTGTTCTCAAACTCCTGACCGCAGGTGATCCAGCCTGGGCAACAGAGTGAGATGCTGTCTCATGTCTCAAAAAAAAAAGAAAACACACAAAAAACAAAACAAAACTCTGACTATATCACAATTGCTGAATTAAGATATTAACTAGGCCAGGCACGGTGGCTCATGCCTGTAATCCCAGCACTTTGGGAGGCCAAGGTGGGCAGATGACGAGGTCAGCAGTTCGAGACCAGTGAAACCCCATTCCTACTAAAAATACAAAAATTAGCCGAGTGCAGTGGCGGGTGCTTGTTGTCCCAGCTACTCGGGAGGCTGAGGCAAGAGAATTGCTTGAACCCTGGAGGCGGAGGTTGCAGCGAGCCAAGATCACACCACTGACTCCAGCCTAGGCGACAGAGTGAGACTCCATCTCAAAAAAAAAAAAAAAAAAAAAAAAAAAAGATATTCACTAATGCACTGACGAGACAAGTGACAGTATGTAACTGTCAATGTCCTATACAAACCTGATAATATTCCCAGTGTTCTGGGATATAGCCTTCTGGAATTTCTGCTAGTTCAGCTGGACCTAATAAGAAAAAAAATGTTATGTTCAACTTTAGCATGAGGAGTTTATAAAATTAATTCTTCACCATTAAAATAGAAACCAACTTCTTGTTTTAAAGGATCTCTTAAAAAATCTGTAACAATGAAGATACCTAATATTTTTAATTAACTTTAATCTAGATGAAAATTAATTCAGGCCGCGTGCGGTGGCTCAAGCCTGTAATCCCAGCACTTTGGGAGGCCGAGGCGGGTGGATCAAGAGGTCGAGAGATCAAGACCAACCTGGTCAACATGGTGAAACCCCGTCTCTACCAAAAATACAAAAAATTAGCTGGGCATGGTGGCACGTGCCTATAATCCCAGCTACTCAGGAGGCTGAGGCAGGAGAATTGCCTGAACCCAGGAGGCGGAGGTTGCGGTGAGCCAAGATCGCGCCATTGCACTCCAGCCTGGGTAACAAAAAAAAAAAAAAAAAAAAAAAAAGAAAATTAATTCATTTCTTAGACATATTAAAACATCTCTCTGTGTAAGGCATTATTTATAGGTATTCCACGAGTTTCCCATTTTGTTTTTATACCGTAACAAGATTTAATAGGTATTATTCCTTCTGGTCTTCCCTATACCTACAATACAAAATATTTTAGGATTCAAGGTGTTAGAAGTACTTTGAACAGAACTTCCCATGAAAATCTAATGTTTACTGTCATTCACATTTTTATTGTTAGAGAATTATATGTTCCATTTTTTTTTTTTTTGAGACGAAGTTTCACTCTTGTTACCCAGGCTGGAGTGCAATGGCGTGATCTCGGCTCACCGCAACCTCCGTCTCCTGGGTTCAAGCAATTCTCCTGCCTCAGCCTCCCGAGTAGCTGGGACTACAGGCGTGCACCACCATGCCCAGCTAATTTTGTATTTTTAGTAGAGACGGGGTTTCACCATGTTGACCAGGATGGTCTCGATCTCTTGACCTCGTGATCCACCCGCCTCGGTCTCCCAAAGTGCTGGGATTACAGACTTGAGCCACCGCGCCCGGCTTTTATATGTTCCATTTTATATGTTCTAGGATGGATTAAAAAATTCTTAGTTCAGATCAAGATTTGGTTACTTTAAGATAAACTGCCATGCTTATGATTATTTAACTATTTAAAGAGCTTTTCAATACAATAGCCATCTTTTATCTATATATATTAATGTACACATGTTTAAAATTTTTTCTAATTTGGTAGTGCTGCGGGGGATGGAAATGACTTACCAATGAACACATTCACCAGGGTTATGATAATTGCCACTGGAATCCCAGTCAAGAAAACGTAGAATCTCTAAGATAAAAAATAAACAAGTGTTCCTCATGACCATTTCATAACTCTCCCCGCATACAAATCATCCTAATGATATGATTTCCTTATATTTCTTGTAAAAATAAACTTGCCAAATTGGGCATACAGTATCAAATTATTGATTTCTGTGATTTTACTTTTAGGTCAAGCCATGAAAGAAAATAATGTATCAAGAACAAAAGTGTAAAACAATTAGGGGGATTTTACCACTAAACAGGATTTGAGCTGGTCACAACAAGGAAAGTAAGAGCTCTCAGCCAAGGAGATGAAAAAGGGCATTAAGCACAATGGAAGGGCAAGGGAAGAGAAGGTTTTAAGGTCAGGACTCAAATGATGACTCAGAGCTTTATCAACAGTGGCAGACAATCCAGACAAGTTCCCACGTTCTAAGTCTCTACTTTGTTCCTATATAGCCTTGAGATACAAATATACAGTCAGCACTCTACATAAGCAACGTAATTATATTATTGCTAAATTAAGACTGCACTATAGATCCTTGTTACTCTCTGAAATCAATGTTCTTGAACAACATATAAATACAAAATCATATCCCAAAATAATGTAGCTCCTCTATCTAAAAAAGTGTTTCAATAAGTTCTTTGGTAATTTAAAGACTATTTTAGTTACAGGAACACAGATTATATTTTAAAACTTCATAATCTTTAGGTGAAAAAAACGAACGATTCAAGTTTTACCTCCATTTAGTGTAAATCCTTTTGTGTAGAAGGGAAGGTTCACCAATTTAACAAGAAATTCAGTAACAAACCAGACTTTACAATCTCAGAATCTTCAAATTTACAAAATATTTCATAAAATGAAAGACGTTTTGTAAAGAGGCAAAAATTTCCCCCGTTATATGCAAAGACTTCAATTCAACAAAAAATTTAAACTTACCACTAACTTCAAAAAACGCTTGTCATAGAATCCAGTAGGTTTGATGATAAATAGTCTTTTCCCATGGCCTCCACTGTGTCGAACAGGAGCTGAAAATATTAATTACCCTTTTTTATACAAGGTTCATGTGGGTATACTGTTATATTATGAGTTATGTGGCAAATAAAAACATTCCTCTTTAAAGTTTCCTTTTCTTGTTAAAGAATAAATCTTAAGTATGCTAATAACTCTTTGTTAAGCCCTTCCCTATGTAGCTGTTAGACATTCCATGCTTACAGGTACGTAGTATATTCTATGTCCTTGTGCTCTAACCAAGATGTCTGTGCTGGATGTGCTCACAGGCATGTCCCAGCTCTCCACTGCTTTTACCTGTTTAGAAAAGTTTTAAGTTGTTAGCCAATTGGGTTTTAGTTTAGATTGTGAGGTCTGGTTCCAGCCAATGGAGATCAGACCCAGCAGTAAGGATAATCCCAAACTCGTAAGGGATAAATATGTCTGCTTTCCTTTGCTCATTGTACTCTCATGGCAAGATGGCTAGAGAGTATTCTTCCTGCCATCCAGGAAGTACAAATTGTGTTGCTGAAAGAGCCTTTGTCTCAGTGCTAATTTTTCTTGAAAGCACTGAGCATCTGTTTCCAATAGTTAAAATCAGATTAGAAAAAAAATACATGGACCTTTCTGTAGTTCATAAGCATGATGATTGAGTTTTCACACTCACATGTGAGATATGCCTACCTCAAATCTTGTTATGAGGGAGGCGCATTACCCATCTGACATGAAACAAAAAGAAAATATACATTCTTACATGTTTAATGTGAGTTAAGATCTTAAAACATTTAATTTGAGTAGGGAGGTCAGATAGGATATCTTTAAACAAAGATGGAACTACTGCTCTGAACTATAACTTTCCTCATTGTAATTCAAAATTAAAGAGGTATCTAAATAATCATTTTAGGCTGGGCATGGTGGCTCCTGTCTATAATCTCAAAACTTTGGGAGGCAGAAGTGGGTGGATCACCTGAGGTCAGGAGTTCAAGACCAGTCTGGACAATATGGTAAAACCCCATCTCTACAAAAATACAAAAATTAGCCAGGCCTAATGGTGGGTGCCTGTAATCCCAGCTACTCAGAGGCTGAGGTGGAAGAATCGCTTGAACCTGGGAGATGGAGGTTGCAGTGAGCCAAGGTCATGCCATTGCACTCCAGCCTGGGCAACAGAGTGAGACTCTGTCTCAAAACAAAAACAAAAACAAAAAAAATCATTTGAATTTGTTTCAGTAGTGGGCAGAGAGGTCAGATACTTAGCTGTTCATCTGGGTCTCCTGTGTAACAAATATTTGCTAATGCTGCAAAAGAAAAACATTTAATTTCAATTCTTCCATTATGTCATTTCATATGACGCATTAACTGTATCATATGTATTATTACACTGCAAATTAGATGGAAAGGACCAGCAGTATTCATTCAACAAATCACCAGCAAGAATCTGAACTTGTTACAAAACTCCACACTCTTCAATATCTTGACGAAAATCACACTGTAAACCATTGGTTAAGAACATCCTCTTCAAGTCTCCTCCCTGACAGAATTTAATCAAGCCTTGCTGGAAATAAACTGCAACCAAATTTCACTTCTGGATCCTGTTGACATTCTTCCTCTTCTTGGAGTTCTAGAAGGATCACTACGGCATTCCAAGGCCTTTCCACTGGGAGCAGGAAAGGATCTAGCTATTACCAAGAAACTGAAGGTTCCTATGTTTTCACTATGTCTACAAAATAGACTCTCAAGGATATTTTGCATATGAGTCACTGTGGAATAAAAAACTTTAATTTCCCATTAAAGGAATTTCAGTCATAACAGATGTCAGAAAGATCTGAATCTTCTGTTCATGCTTAACGTCTGGAATGCCGTCCCCTCTCCTGAAATCTGTTAGGCCCAGATAACATCTTATCTTTCAAGAAGCCAACATTCTTCCCAGCCATCCACGACCTTACCTACTTTTACATTACTGTACGTTATTGTGAAATGTGTATTTGCATTCACTGCTGGCACTTTTAAGTATAAATATCTTGAAAGCAGGAACTATCTTCTTAATTTTGGTAACACCTGCAGCAGCTTGCAGTGAGTTTAGGAGGTTGACTCAAAAGAGAATTAGAAACTGGCATGAACTTACCACATATAATTCATACTACTAAGGCTTTTTAAACAACAAAATGAAGAGAATTTGACAAAGTACGGACTTCAGCAAATCATCTGAAAGATATATAACAGAATAATATTTTTTTGGACTAGATGAAGAAAATGGGTTGGATGACAGTTCAAAGTACTCATTAATTCAATACATACTTCAGTGCATGCTATGTGCAGACCCCACGCTAGACCTATACACAGTCTAAAAGGCATATAGATCCTGTTGGGAGAAATACACATCACACAAACAATTACAAATCTATAAGGGCAACAAGAGAAAGAAACAGGATACAGTGGCCCAGAAGAAAATTCCTATTTAGGCAAGGCGGTGGGAGTGGGAGGAAGGGACATTATGAGCTGAGAGAAGGAGCCAGTTAGAGAAATTTGTAATGGGTACTTGACTGACTGACCGCAACCAAAAGGTACCGATTAATTAATGCCGTAATGCGCCAAAGGAAGCTCTCAAAAGCCTGTGGCATCAAGGTTTTCACGAAAGGCCTAGATGAGGTGGATACGGCATTCCTGACTTGTTAAGTCTCAGACGCGCAAAGCTGCTGCTAAGAGAGTGGCTGAGACATTGAATGACGAAATGGGATCCTCAGAGAGTCTTTAACACATTACGAAAGACTGAATCTAAAAGGATTCAATATAACAAGGTAAGTGGAAAGCCTGCCTGGAACGCTCAGAAATCTTAGTTGCTCACAAAATAAGCCGAAGGCCAATTCAGTCTTAATTTGATACCCTCAAAGTACAGGGTCAAAACAGGATGATCTTCCCTGTCCCTTATCCCCTGATCACACCTGCAGAACATGTCCATTCAAGAGCATACTCTTTTCAAGGGACAATCTATTGGCAGCTTAATTTAGGTTGGTGGAAAAGTAATTGTGGTTTTTGCAACTGAAAGTAACCACAAAACTCGAGATTACTTTTGTCCCAACGGATACAAGAAGTTTCTAACAATTTCAGTGACTGAAAATAAAACTGGACCCTCCGCACCATCGATTTCCCATTAAAGAGTCATTCAAGCATCAATAATGGGATGAAATAAGGACTAGCATAAAACAAGGGGTTAGTTAGCCTAGAGGATTTTAAGGTTCTTCCCCTCAAAGAATCAGAATATACGCCCTCTCTCCGAATAAAATGGCATACCCTTCGACTCATCTCTCTCAGTGGTTTCCTTCCAATTGCAAGAACTCCTTCCCACCTTAGAGGGGTTTTTTTTTTGCTTACTTTCCCCTCAGCCTGATATGCTTTTCTCTATTCTTAGGAAGGCTGCTTTCACATCTCACCCTTCAGGGGAAGATCAAATGTCACCTCCTGGGAAAGGTGTCCTCCGATCACCTCATCCAAAGCTGGCCTCCCACTATTCCCCTTAATAGCATTTGACTATTTTCTTTGGAGCAAGGAGCACAAACCCTAATTATTTTGTTAAATGCCATCAGGTCAGGGACTGTCTTATTCAGGTATTCTCAGTATCCTTTAGTGTCATCCACATGGGAGATGCTCCGTAAATATTGCTGAATCCACATTTCTTCAGTAAATTAAGTGTCGACAGATCTTGCCTTCTACATTGACTCAGAAGAGACAGTGTGCTCCGTAACTCTCCCTTTCAATCAGACACACACACGCACAACCACGAGAGATTCAATTATATGTGGTTTTAGGAAATACTAATTACAAACTAACATGGAAAATAGAACAAACAAAAAGCTTGGTCTAGTGTACTCTAGCAATATTGATGCACGTAGTCATGTGAACTGCTTGTTCTTTCTTGACACATAATTATCCAATTGTTGAACAATTCGTCATGTCATTAAACGTCCTAGATAACTTATTAATATTAACTGTTTCAAAGTATATTTCATAGCATGTAACTCTTTTATTTTATTTTAAGAGACAAGGTTTTTTGCGATGTTACTCAAGCTGGCCTTGAACTCCTGGGCTCAAGAGATCCTCCCATCTTGGCTTGCAGAATAGCTGGGATTACATCACCCACCACCACAATCAGCTTGCACTTAACTCTTTTATATGTTTTGAGCCTTCGTGATTTGTTTTTGATGTAGTAGGGCCATCTGATTAAATCTAATAACATTAGTGTATAACCAGGAATGTTGGTGTGTGCTTGTAATCCCAGCTATTCAGGAAGCTGAGGTGGGAGGACGGCTTGAGCCCAGGAGTTTGAGGCCAGCCTGGCAACATAGCTAGACCATTCCCCCTCAAAAAAATTTAAATTAAAATATCAGAGTGAACCACTTACACTTAGATGACTACCAGGATTTCTGAAACACTGATCCTCCGAGCACCAAAAATAGGCATCTTCCACTGCTCTCTAAAGCCTGAAATTTCTCAATTAAGTATTCATTAATTTCACAGGCCTAAGCCTTCAATAACTAATTTTTAAAAATGCAAGTGGTTTCAGAAAAGTGATTATGTCTTTGACAATTCTGATTTTTGTAAAATTGAATTAAATAATGTAGGAACTTTTTGTGAGTCAAAGACAACAACTGGGCCGGGCGCAGTAACTCACACCTGTAATCCCAGCACTTTGGGAGGCCAAGGTGGGCAGATCACCTGAGGTCAGGAGTTTGAGACCAGCCTGGCCAACATGGTGAAACCCCATCTCTACTAAAAACACAAAAAATTAGCCGGGCCTGTAATGCCAGCTACTCATGAGGCTGAGGCAGGAGAATTGCTTGAACCTGGGAAGCAGAGGTTGCAGTGAACCAAGATCGTGCCCCTGCACTCCAGCCTGGGCAAGAGTGAGATTCAGTCTCAAAAAAAGAGACAAGTGAAAATTGGTCATTTTCTTTCCCTCATTCCCAGTAAAGGGCACCACCCTCTCAATTACCTTGGATAAAAATCTCCGTTATCTACCTTGCCTCGATCCCTCGTTTGTCATTTGCCAAGGCCTCTGGATTCTAGGACTTAAACTCTCCATTTCACTCCATACCCTCTTTACCTTACTGGCCTAAGTAATCCATATCCCCCACAAGCCATCCAATACTCAGAAGCACCTTCCTGAAACACACTCCTGATACGGCTCTTCTGCGACGCACTTTCTGTTGCCACCACAATCAAATGAAGACACTCTGGCTTTGTAGTCAGTCCTTCCCTCCCTCAATTCGGTCCCATCTTTCCTCATTTGTCTTTTCTCCCAACCCTACCTACCCGACCAGTCACATATCCAATCAAAAAAACTCAACCGTTACTTTTCTGCCAGTTCGACCTGTTAAAACAATCCCCATAATTCAGTTAAAATGCCATCTGTTCCATGTCTGGATTAACTCCACAGCACTCTTGTTTATATATCCATATTAATATTCTACATTTTTTAAAACCATCATTATGCATATCAGTCTTCAATTAAAAATTACATTTACCTGCAGCTGAGGGGAGAACTCAGCTCACCTCTGGAATTACATGATCTTTGATGTCTAACAAAGAATTTAATGAAGTAAAACAGCTTTATCTGCTTATTTTCTGAAAAGCTTTACAGAGTGTGATGAATAGCATGACAGCAGTAGATTTCTAGGAAAGATGAGGCTATAGGAACTTGGAGAAGGCTAATGCCAGGACTGCAAAGGCA